TTTATTTAAAAAAGAAATACTACTAATAAACACAAATTAATAAATTCAATTGTCCTTGTTAAAAGATAGAAGAGTGCAGTGAATGCAAAAATTAATTGAAATTAAGTTTTTGATTGCGGTCTCTCACATAGAAACCTGAATCTCTAATAAACTTAACTTTTAAAATAACTCTAAACATTTGTTTTTTTAACAATTTTTTTTTCAAAATTATTTAAAATCATCATATTTGCATAATTTGGTTATTGTTTTTGAGATCCTTTAAATTTCTTTTGAAAAATATATTTTGAAAATGTTGATTATTATTTTGGACACTTTAGCTCATCCTCTGCATAGGAAATGAAAAGGTGATGGTAACTAGCTTTTATATTTTTGCAGAGGTTTAGAATCAATATTTTTATTGCTTTTTAAACAATCATATATTTATGACTTGTATTATCATTCATTGTTAATATATTTGATAAGTTTATAATTTGTATTATCATTCATTGTTAATATATTTGATAAGTTTAAGTTTGCATGAAATTTGTAAAAGAATTTGAATAAAATTATTTTTTTAAATATTTTTTATAAATTTTCATTGTTACTTTTCTGGGACAAAAGCTATATTGTCTCTCCCTCCCCCCTCCCCCAAAAAAATATAATTTAAAAGAAGAGCTTACCTTTTTCACATTCAAATCCATAGCATGGCTGCTTCAATCTCCTCTCTCTCCCTTCCCCAACTTCTAAGACCTTCTTACGCCATTGAGCAGAGTCCCACTTTTAATAAATTGAAAATTAACTTATATGTGATGTTAAACTACTATATTCGAGTGCTCCTGCTTTTTCTACCTTAGACTAGTAGAATTTACTTTATTTTATCAAATAGTTCGTAAATGAAGTGAAGTTAATATTGCAAACAGTTCGTATTGAAGTAAAGTTAATATTAACTAAAAAAATGTTTCAAGCAATATTAATTTTCTACAAAAATTTATTTTTCATTGTTAAGTATACCTCTGAGGTTACTCCATGCAGCAAGGAATTCATTCTTGGTGAAATTCTCCATGTATTCTTAATGAAATATAGTTTTCATAGCTAAGATCACGCTTTCCAATGATAAAATCTGTTATTCTGCAAAGAAAAATATTAAAAGTTATGGTTTTAAACCTTTTTAAACCTTTTTAAACCTAAAATTTAAACCTTTAGAAGAGCCAATAAAATATTTAAAGTGAGTATGGTCAATCTCATGATGAATTTTTTTAGGGCAATCAGAGATTATTAAATACATTTAATTTAAAAACTTTTACCAATCTAGTAATTATTGTAAAGTTTCAAAGGAAAAATGACTCTTGGGCACATAGACAAGCGAAGACTAAAAATTAAATTGATGAGAAAGGAGCGTTTCCTTAGATTATTTGCGCCAGCTTCCAATAAATCAGTTGAACGCATATTAAATTCTAAGTAACTCCAATATTATTTGCAAAACATTGGTTTAAAAGATGTATTAGGTATAGGGCAGAAGGAGAGGCCCTACTCCTATAAAACGGGGCCTCGATGCTAGGCTCCTACTGTAATTAAAAATTAAAATACTTTAAATCTTACAAATTCTAAGGGAGTTTGCATAAAATATTTTAGGTCTCAATAGCAGTCACAACACTTTGCACTATAATCGACACTTTTTAGATGCTGCTTGATTAATTAATGTTTTTTGCACAAGGTAATTATGTCCAATAAAAGTTATCAAGTCCAATAAAATTAGTAACTCAATATTTTCAACACATCTTGTCGATATGTTTAACTATGAAATATGTCATATACATATTGCCGCTGCAAAACAAGACTACCTTAAGTCTTTTTTTGCTGTTCTGAAAAAAAGGCATTTAAAGTTTTAAGCTTATCATTTGATCTTTTCAATTAAACCTAATTGCTTTTAGTTTGTTTATAGCAAATTCTTTTATTTTTCATGAAATAACAACAACAAAAATTTAAAGTTTATGTAATTTTAAAAGTCAAATTGACTTAAGATATGGAAAACTTAGCTAATTAAATATCTTAAGTCCATAAATTTTTATGCAGTTATTTAACTGTTACTCTCTTATTTTATTAGATTAGTTACTTAGCAACAGTAATCAAAATATTTTTAAGATAGTCATTTAGTAATGGAACCACCAAATAAACATGTAAAATACTTAAAAAAATACTTATAAGTAAAATAAAGAACACAAGTGATACAAGTAACAAAGTTTTCATTTGAAAAACAATCATTTTTATGTCTAGCTGCTACTAAATGCATATTTTTATTATTATTACCTAATTGGCAGAAACCGCTTATGCACAATCCTTTTTGGTTATTTGATGGCCTTCTTTGTTGTGACTTTTGGGTTATTGTTTTTGTGTTTTTTTTCAGTATTTTATCATCATCATTATCACCCATAATTCTGGCTAGGATCTTGAGGTTTTGGTAAAAATAATGATGTGGTTTTAAAATATAGCCCTTGTTGCATAGGAAAAGAGGATACTTTTCCTATGCTTCTGAGTACCTCTTGGACCAAGATACTTCTGCTTTTTGTAACTGTATATCTGCTGCTGACTTTATACAATCAGTCATTTCTGATCGAAAAATACAACTTTTATATTCTTTAATTTAAAAAATATTTTTTCATTTTTAAAATTGATTATATCATCAGGTTTAACACAGTTAATGCACAGGTTTTTTTTTAAAAAAGCTTGTTTTTTACTGTAAACTTTTTACAAAATACCTTTTCTGGAAAAAATAAAAAGTTTGGAAGTCTAGTACTAAATGAGTGATTAAATGAGTCTTTTTATTTACTTTTTTTACCCCATTAATTGGATCACTTGTCTCTTAGATCCACCTCTGAGAAAACCGTTTAGAAGACATTACAAAGATGAGTTGACGTAGCGTAAAAAACTATTTTGAAATTTCTATGATTTTTTTAAAAAGATGTCGCCAGCTATTTGACGCAATTTTAACAGTGCCTTATCTTGTAATTTGTTTGGGCATAATTAATCTCAAGTGACTCTCTTATTTTCCTTTCATGGTAGTTAGAATTAAATGCGATAGTTTTGGGGTGCATCCAATTAAATATACTGTGGCAGTCCTTGCAGTGCACTGTGGCTCCGATAACATGTCACTTGCCTTTCATGCTGTTTATCTGATGCTCAATACTTCTTTGTATAACTTTCTTTTTTGTTTCTCCGATATAAACGCCACCGCATGAACACGTAAGCTTATACACACCCGGCTTGCTATTTAGTAAAAATTTGGATTTGATATTACATAAAAAAATTTTAAAGTTGGTGGTCTTGTAAATATAACTTTAGCACCGTAACCAGACATGGAGAAAACTCCAAACTTTTGTTCGTTTACACTTATATCAAATAAAGCTGCTTTTCAAAAAATTGTAATGAATAAAGCCTGGGAACAAAAGCCCTAAATTTTGAAACCCTTTAACCCCAAATGTGAGAGCAACAAGTTAATAAAAAAAATTTTTTCACTTTTTTTATATAATTTATATTCATCAAAAAGCTGTAAATTTATTAAAACAGTTTCATAGACATAACTATTTCTTGTTTATGTTATTACGTTTCTGTTTGGATACCTGAAATCAGGTCATTTTAAAGTTTTTTCCCTGATATAACTCTTTAGTTTAAACATTTGACATAAGCAAATAATTGTGGACAGAAGTAGTCATTATCGTCATTGGTCATTATGCGAGACCTCGAAATACAGCAAAAATACACCTAACAAAAATACATATACAAAAAAAAATTTTGAGCACTGATTCTGCACCCGCGTGGGGTATTCCCCTTGCCTTTCAACAAACAGTTTGAACTTTTTAAGACCGCTCCACTTGATGTTCTATTCTACTTTAACCTCTGCTTAACCTAAGTAGTTAAACTTCCTCCAATTTCATGGGGATCTTTCTCCGCATACACATTTTTGCACCACAAATGTGTATCTAAAAAATTTAGTGCATTTAAACCAAATAATATTACTATAACGTTATTTACAATTTACTTATTTCTCTTTGAACTCAATTTTGCAATATTTGCTTACCATTTAAATTGTCAAAACTACTACATACCACCTATCTTTAGAGATGACTATAAAAGCGCCATAAATAAATAAAAAAGCGTGTGCAATATGGTTTACATTGTGACAAGAGATAATTATTTTTAATCTATATTTGACATTTTTTTGTTAACACAGCCAAAATGCTTTTAAAAAATCGGTAAGTTTTCAAAAAATATAGCCAAAATCATATGAAATTTTTTGCAAACTGTCAAAATTTTATTGTAATAAATTTTGTTACTTTCCACGAAAAATATCAAAAATTCGTCATGTATAAATGGAAAGTATCCAAAATCACATCTTTCCCGGAAAATAGCGGAAACTTTTCCATAAAAGTTAAAATTAACGGAATTTTCACGGAAAATAGCCAAAATTGCTTCTTAATTTCCGTGAATTTTTACGCTTTACTTAAGTAGTTTAGCGTAAATAAACAGAATCGCTGTTGAATAATATACATTTTAAAAATGGACTAAAAAGTGAATAATAAACTATTGCCAATGGGAGCGAGTTGTACTTAGTTGCCCAACATTTTCAGTCATTGACTTTAATGGATATTTCAGGTTGTGTACCTACAAAGTCCTTGGCCTAAGGACTTTGTAGGCTTTTACGGGACCCAAAGCTTAGATCCCGTGAAATAGTTATTTTTTACTTTTTAGTCCATTTTTAAAATGTTGTTTTTAAAAAGTTTTTTTTTATATTTTTTTAATTAAATTAATGATTTTATTTCTGTATTTTTTAAACAAATTAAATGTGTTTTCTTTATTTATGGTTAACAAAAATATATAATTATTAGATATTGTTAATAAAATTAACAGTTTAATGATTAATTTAGTTGCCTTTTTCTGATAGCCTATTAGATTTCTGATAGACAAACCTATCAGATATGTTTCTGTTTATATATTAACACTATGTTTTAATTAATATTAGTACTCCTTTTTTTTTAATTATATTTTATCTGTTAAGTAGATAATGGATGAATTAGAAGAGAATTATATAGCATCAATGGTCCTAGCTGGTGTAGGTGATGCAATAGGGTATAAATGTGGTAAATGGGAGTTTTGCTTTGATGGTGTAAAAATTCACGATGAACTTTCTATTCTTGGTGGTATTGAGAATCTTAATGTTAAAAAGCCAGGCTTTATTGTTAGTGATGATACAGTACTTTTGCTTTCAACAGCTGAGGCTCTTATTGAAAAAAGTAATAGTGATATTGAGATGCTTTATAAAGAATTAGCATTTCGATATAAACATGATTTTGCTAATGATATGAAAGATCGAGCAGGTGGAATTACAACTAGTATGGCTTGTTCAAACTTGAAACCAAATATTTCAAAAGGATGGTATGTTCCTTTTAACAAAAGAGGTGGTGGATGTGGAGCAGCTATGCGTTCAATGTGTATTGGGTTGCGATACCCAAACATTTATGATGTAAAATGTTTAGAAAAGTTAATAACAATAAGTGTAGAAAGTGGGAGAATGACTCACAATCATCCAACTGGATTCTTAGGGTCATTTGCAGCAGCTTTGTTTGGTGCATTATCAGTAGTGAAATATCCTTTAAATAAATGGGGTTGTTTATTAATAGAACTTTTGCCTAAAGTTTTTCATTATATTGAATCAGAAGGAAGAGATGTTAATGAAAACAAGAATTCTTGGAGTTATTTTGAACATAGTTGGAAAAGTTATTTAGAAAAAAGGAATATTTTAAATGGTAAAAATATGCCTTTGTTTCCTGAAAATTTTGATGTCAAAGAAAGAGATATTTTTTACAAGTCACTCAGTTTTTCTGGTTGGGGTGGTTCAAGTGGACATGATGCACCCATGATTGCTTATGATGCTTTATTAGCTGGAAATGGCAATTGGACCAAACTTTGTCACCATGGCATGCTTCATGGTGGTGATAATGATTCAACTGGTGTGATTGCAGGGTTTTGTTATGGTGCTTTATTTGGATTTTCTGGCGTTCCAATATGTAACTATAATGATGTTGAATACAAAGATAGACTCGAGTATGCTGGTAAAAAATTGTATGAGCTGGCTAAAAATGATGGCTTTTTAAAGTTTAATACTGATGAAGAGATTCCCATTAGCAAGTTGTTCAAAAATAACAACTTGGAATCCAAAAACTCCATAGTTTTAAAATAGCTTGCTTTTTTTAACATTTCTTTTTTAAACAAAAGTTTTTTTCAAATTTTTTAAAAATCATCATATTTATATAATTTGGTAATTGTTTTCAAAATCCTTTAAACACACTTTTTTAGATAATCTTTTGAATAATATATTTTTAAAATCTTGATTATTATTTTTTGTACTTTTGCTTATCCTCTGCAGAGAGAATGGAAAGGTGGTGGTTACTAGCTATTCTATTTTTGCAAAGTTTAGAACCAATATTTGCATTGCTTTTTAAATAATTATATATTTTAGGATTTATATTATCATCATTGTTAGTATATTTGATAAGTTTGAGTTTGCATAAAAGTTTGTAAATGAATTTGTATTAAATCACTTTTTAGAATATTTTTCATAAAGTTTCAGTATTATGCACACACACTCACTCACTCACTCACTCACTCACTCACTCACTCACTCACTCACTCACTCACACACACACACACACACACACACACACACACACACACACACACACACACATATATATATATATATATATATATATATATATATATATATATATATATATATATATATATATTGTACCGTATTTAAGTGCCAAATTTTTTTTTATTTTTAGTGAAAAAATTTATATAATAATTAATTTTACATAATTTTACAACAGCTGCCATTTTTTACAAATTTTGAAGTTCTTTCTGCTAATGAAATATCCAAAGATCTGATTGTGCTACTGGCATGTGTATAAAATATTTTACATTAAACATGTCTATAAGATGTGTTGAAAAATTGAGTTCCTAACTTTATGGAATCACCTTGCACCAGATACATTTTAAAATTTACTCAAAAATTGAGCATTTCATCAAGCAGTATCAATTATGGTGTAAAGTGTTGTCACTGCCATTAAGATCTAAAAAGTTTAGACTTAAAATATACACATATATATTGTCTTAAAAAACCAATTAGGAGTAGAGTCATAGACATAGAAAGCGGGTGGGTCTGGTGGTGGTGGTGGGGAAAGAGCTATATCACCATTCCCCAAATAAAAAGTTATTTATCTATAGTCCTCCCCCTTGATAAAGGGGGGCTTTAGCCTCAGGCCCTGCAAATTTAGGGGCCCCTAAAGGTAATATTTCACCAAAAAAAACATTTATATAATTTTCTACAAAAATTTATTTTCCAGTTTGCAGTGTATCTCTGCGGTTTTTCCATGCAGCAAGGAATGCATTCTTGGTGGAATATGGTTTAGCTAAGATCAATCTTTCCAACGATTGAACCTGTTACTTTGCAAAGAAAAATATTAAAGTATATTGTTAGATTTAAACCTTAAGAAGAGCCTGTATAATATTCAAAGCGAGTATGCTCAATCTTGTGCTGAGTTTATTAGGACAGTCTGAGGTTGTTTATAAATTTTTATTTAAAAACTTTTATTAATCAAATAATTATGGTAAAATTTTAAATATAAACTTTTAATAAATCAGTTAAACGTAATCTTTGTACATCTGGAGTTGTTAAAAATTCATTTGGTTTTTTATTTTCAGAATAAATCAGAATCTGACTCAGAGATGAAAATGCACCTTATTAAAAACCAGATAAAAGGAGACAGATTATTATTGTTACTAAAGAAAATATTAGGCAAACCATGCGAACTGCTGTATGTGTGGATGTTTTAGTCAATAAAATGACTGCTACTGTGATTAAGCTAATTACAAAAGCAAGAGGTGATCCAAGTAAACTTTCTTACACATAAGTTTTCTAAATGAAAAGCAATTTTATTAACAAGGACATAGTTAATCTCAAAATTCTATTTCAAAATGAAAATAAACATAGTAATAAAACAGTCCAGCTGAACTTTGATTAAAAGCTTATCAAGGTTAGTATATGTGTTGCCTATATAATAAAGTGTATAAAATATATTTTATACACTTTATTATATAAATTGTATAAAATCTCTCATCAGTACACTTCATTGACAAATACGAATTAAACAGTTCTTTATGATATTGGTCTGTTAATTTTTCTACATCACTGAAACAAGCATTTCTTGTTTTCTCTCCACATATTTTTCTTTTGTATTTTCTTACTACTTTTATTATCACTCTCAACCACCACTTTCTTTCCTTTATATTGACCACTCTTTTGTACATAAGACCTGTGTTTACCTTAAATTTTCTGACCTGTGTTTACCTTAAATTTTCTAATGTTTCTAATCCATCATAATTGATCTTTCTTCTTTATTGGGGTTGTATCATATAAATTTGCAATGAGTTCTAAATGCCTGATTTTTCAAGTTCAACTTTAAAATTTTCAAAATCACTAAAGTTTTAAAGTATTGCAGTACCAATGCTGTTTTTACCAATATTGAATTTCGGATATTTATTAGATATAAAGTATTGCAGTACCAATGCTATTTTTACCAATATTGAATTTTGGATATTTATTAAAGTTTTTCATTACTTTTATTATAAATAATCTTCCAAAATCTTTAGGTATTGTCTCTCCGTGGGCAGTATTTTTCCGTGATCACTTTTCGTGAATTTCTTTTTGATGGCCCTTGGGTAAAAATCTTTCATCTTCCTGCTGGCAAATGTGCTTCATACATAACTTCGTGGATTCAAACTGGCATGGAATCTTTTATTCCCTCTCGACGATTCCAGGTTAAGTCTTACTCTTCCCCCGCGGTTATCCACACATTGTGCTGCTGCAATTTCTAATTGAAACCATTATTTTCATATCTTTAAGCAAAACAATTCTCCAGAAAACAGACGTCTGTTTATTACATCTTGAAACCATTGTATAAAGGTTTTGTCTAATGCCAAAGCCCACTATTCTCAGGTCATGAAATCTTGTATTTCATCACAAAAATTATGCTCTCGTGACTTCTGGAAAATCTTTAATAGCATCAATAATAAGGGTAAATCTGTTGTTTTACCTCTCTTGTATGGTTCAGACTTTGTCACCTCAACTAAAGACAAAGTTGAATTGTTTGCTAAGAACTTTTCATCAATATCATCTCTTCAATCCGCTAGTTGCGTTCTACCTGATTTAGCTGTCAAATAGTTCGATCCATTGCTTGACAATGATTTCCTGCTTAGACTCTTCTACAGCTTGTGGTCCGGACAACATACCTGTTTTAGTCTTGCAGAAGGTTTCTCCAGGCCTGTTGTCTATACTTTCAAAACTATTTAGCATGTATGTATCAGAGTCTTAATTTCCAGCCTGCTGGAAATCGGCATCTGTTTTTTTTTTTGTTTTTTTTTTAATTCACCTCCTCAAGGCCGAGAAGGCCACTACAGACGAGGAGGGTACTTATTTGTGGCTATAACCCTCTCTCAACTCTATAACTCCGAAACACGAACCTTGACGAACAAGACCGCTGCGCGGAGAAACGAGTTGAGCAGGGTACTACCAGGGACGTGTTGGGGATCGAACTCGGGACCACTCGTTTATGAAGCGAGCGCTCTACCACTACACCACTACCGCATGAACTGTTATGCAAGGTTTTTGAATATTTGTTTAATAAGCACTTAATTTCTCATCTTGAATCAAATAACTTACTTTCTGATCATCAATATGGATTTTGATCTTCTCTTTCTACAGCTGATTTGCCAGCAATAATAACAGATAGATTTAAACCTGCATTAGATAAAGGTGGAGAGGTTAAGGCCATCGCTCTTGACATTCCTAATGCTTTTGATAGAGTTTGGCATGCTGGTCTCTCCATAAGCTTTCTTCTTACGGTGTATCTGGTAACATATGTAAGATTTTTAAATCTTTCCTTTCCAATCGTAGTATAAAAGTTGTCCTTGAAGGACAGTTTTCTTGTTCATATCCTGTAACTTCAGGGGTTCCTCAAAGTTTAATCTTTGGCTCTATATTCTTTTTAACTTACATTAACGATCTTCCAGAAATTCTCACATCTATGATGGGATTATTTGCTGATGGTACTGCCATTTATTCTTGTCATGATAAGCCAACACTCTCTGATTGCTTGGAGAGGGGCATTTTAGCTTGAAAAGAATCTTACTTCTGTTACAGCAGTGGCTGGTGAACTTTATTTCAAATGAAATTCAATTTTTTTCAGCAATTGTTATCGTAATAATTTAGATCTTCCTATATTTATGAATGGTAATGTATTTGATGAGTCATCTACTCTTCATCTTTTAGGATTAACTCTTCCGATCCTTTTTGGAAACCAAATATTAAATCCATTGCAAAATTAGCATCTGCTAAGGTTGCATCTCTTTATTGAGCTCGACACTTTCTCACTCTGGATTCTATTCTCTATCTCTATAAATCTCAAATCTAGCCTTGTATAGAATACTGTTGCTATATCTGTGGCAGATCTTCTAATGATGTCCTTTCTCTTTTAGACAAAGTGCTAAAACATATTGTAACCATAGTTTGACCTACTCTTGCAGCTAACCTGCAACCATTATCACATCGTCATGATGTTGCTTCTCTTTCTCTTTTCTACAAACACCATAATGTGCACTTGTCTAAAGAGCCAGCATCTGTTGTTCCATCTACTAAAATTCATTCTTGTGTTATGTGTCATTCAATTTAGCCTCATTCTTTTTCTGTAACTGTTTCTAAATGCTCTAAAAACTCTTATTTGTCTAGTTATTTTCCTCGAACATCAGTTCTTTAGAATTCTCTTCCTTCATCTTACTTTCCTTATTCTTATAATTTGCAATTTTTAAAGTTGTCTGTTAATCTTTATCTTGCTCTACAACCTTCATCTTTTCTCTTCCAGTAACTTCCAACTCTAATAATGGTTGCTTGCAGTTCAACCTGCCTTGTTGCTTTTAACTATTAGCGTATTTGGAACTACCAAAACATTGCATTTGATATATTTCATAGTTAAACACGTACATGTCTATAGCACAATCAGGTCTTTAGATATTATATTTGCAGTAAGAATTTTAAAGTTTATAAGAAATCTGCTGGCGCAAGGTATATTTTTTTTAAAAAATGAAAAAATACTTTTTCAATTAATTCATAATTACTCATCTTTTTAACTTGCAATTATATCAATAAGGCAAAATTGAAGGAAAATTGATATATATATATATATATATATATATATATATATATATATATATATATATATATATATATATATATATTTATATATTTATACATAAATTTATATACATATATATATATATATATATATATACGCATTTATATATATATATATGTATATATATATATATATATTTATATATACATATACATATATATATATATATATATATATATATATATATATATATATATATATATATATATATATATATATATATATATATATATATATACATATACATATATATATATATATACAGGTCTCGGCGGGAAGCAAGAGCTTTAGCACTCGCTCTCGCCACACTCCCCTAAATTGGTTTACGGGAGCAATTAAAGGCTCTCGCAAAAGTATAACTTTTCTCACGAAAGTATAATTATCGTTGTTATTAAAATAAAAAACACCATGTCATTTATAAAAAAACTAATTGCATAATATACTGCAATGCTTTTTAAAAAGCACCATTGTTGCAAAAAAAAATTATAGTTAAAAAGATTTATATGAGGAGCAGTTTCCCCGCCTGTATATATATATATATATATATATATATATATATATATATATATACATACATACATACATACATACATACATACATACATACATACATACATACATACATACATACATACATACATACATATTTATACACATATATATATATATATATATATGTGTGTGTATATATATATATATATATATATATATATATATATATATATATATATATATATATATATATATATATATATATATATATATATATACATATATATATATATATATATATATATACAGTATTGGACAAAATATTTGCAACCAACATCAAACAATGCTAAAAAGTGTTCCTAATTTTACATGTCTTAAAAACGAAACAAACTATACTATCACAGCAAACAGTTCAGGAGTCTGGAGTCATAGCATGCAATGACATGAGCAATCAGGTGACAGCACACAGGCAGAATTTTGTTGACAAGTGCCATTTTGCAGCGGACAAAACAAGTGCAACTTTTTTGGTTTGTTTCATTTTCTTAAGTCTTTTTCTAAGTTCGTGTCAATGTCACGGAAGTTTTTTAATAATTAAAAGAAGTATCCAGAAAGCATGCAGAAAGCATGCATCCAGCAAGCATCCAGAAAGCATGCAGAAGCTTCCAGAAGTTTCCAGAAGAAGCATCTGGAAGCATCCAGAAGTATCCAGAAACATTCAGTAGCATCCAGAAGCTTCCAGAGAAGCATCTAGAATCTTTCAGAATAGGTTCACATAGGTTCATTTTATTATATAAGAGATATGTAAAGCCACATGTAATTCAGTCAGTTTATGGAAGTCAATCAGTCAGTATAATCAAGACAATTTATCGAAGTGAGTTTTTGTGATAAATATCGCATGAAAAAATGGACCGTATCAAGACTATATTCCAAATATCGTTCTACGAGGAAGTTGACAGCAGATAAAAAAGGTGGAAGACCGCGTTCCACCACTTCTAGAGAGGATTCTACTTTTTGAAATTTTATTTTCTACAAGATTAATATGCTCTTTCCAACTAATTTGCTCATTGATTAAAACACTTAAGAATTTAACATAGAATGTCCGTTGCAGTTTGGTTTTTTCTATTGAAATATCCGGGAGTTTTAAGGGTAACGTGTCAGATTTAGAAGATTTAGAAAAGAGAGTATACTTGCTTTTGGTAGGGTTCAGAGAGAGTTTGTTGGCTTTAAACCATTCATTAAAGTTATCAAGTTCATGATTCATAGTGATAAAGATTGTCTTAATGTTAAAGTATAAAAAACTTGAGTATCGTCAGCAAAAAGGTTGAAGTTTAGTATACTAGATGATAAGTAAATATCGTTGATATAAATATTAAACAATAAAGGGCCTAGAATAGATCCCTGTGGAACTATCCTGTTCAGCAATGAATCGAAGTTCAACATCATTGGGAGCGATGCCATTTGCTGTGTACGTTGACCAGCCAAAAAATGCCTTGATTTATGTTACTGCCATAAGACCGTGAAGCATGGTAGAAGCAATGTAATGGTCTGGGGGTGTTTTTCTGCTAACAGTCTAGGTCCAATATATCAAGTCGATGGAATAATGGACCGTTTCATGTTTAAAATATCCTGAAAGATGTTATGTTACCTCATGCTGAACGGAATATGCCAATAAAATGGGTTTTTCAGCAAGACAATAATCCGAAACATACTGCAAAAGTAATCAAGCAGTGGTTTCAAGACAACCACCTATCAGTGATGGATTGGCCGCCTCAATCTCGGGATCTCAACCCTATCGAGAACCTGTGGGAGATCATCAATGGCAGAATTAATTGTGAAGGTGTTCGTAATAAGGATTAACTGTTTGAACAAATCCAAAAGGCCTGGGCAGCGATTCCACAAAGTTTCATTGGTCACTTGATTGAGCCTTTGCCTCGAAGATGCAAGGCTGTGATCGATAACAAAGGATTTGTAACGAAATATTGATAGCGAAATACAGCTTGGTCAACATTTTGTGGAATTGCACTTGTTTTGTCCAGAAGGAAGTTAACTTTTTTTAATACTTTTGATTAATTTATTAGTACAAATAATGAACATTGTGATGAATAAAACTTGAAGAACGTTGTCTCTAAACAGTTACATAGTTATTTCTCTAAATTGAAAAAATGCAGCACTTTTATATAAAGAAACTAAATTAGCATTATTTGGTTGCACTTGTTTTGCCTGATACTGTATATATACATACACATATGTATTTATATATATATATATATATATATATATATATATATATATATATATATATATATATATATATATATATATATATATATATACACTCCCTTCCATCTGCAGTTCTATCTGCACTGCCACAATACACAATGTTTGTTGTGAACTTGGAATATTGTATTTTTCACTCAACATGCTTAACCTGTTAACAGTCCATGCCGTAATATTACGCAAATAAAAAGTGGTTTCTAAATGTCAGTGCCATAATATTACGCAAACTAAAAGTGGTTCCTAAATGTCCATGCCATAATATTCCCGTTTCATGCATCTGTTTATATTTTCTTCTTGTTCATCAGTAATTATACGTCTACTTGTCACAAAATTTGTTACTACATAATTAAAAAGTTTTTATTTCAATAATTTACTTTTACACATGTTTACTTAAATTTTAAATATGACAAATAAGGTTCTTTCAGTGCAAAAATAATTACCAAAATGTAAATACTTACTCACTAAAGGATGGAAAATTATACATTTGGTGAATCGATCATGAAAAGATATATTTGATGAATGATTATTGAAAATGTTAATATAAGGTTAATGCTCAAAGAAGGTGTGTGGTATGTTACAAACACATAAATCAAAAAGGTTCAAGATATGAATGTTTATAATATAAGACTTTGTGCAGCTCCATGCTTTTCCAATTCTCATGCAAAAATTGAATATTTGTGAAACAATTTTTACAATTTTTTGTTTATGTAGTATGATTTATATATTCTCAAACTTGAATAGTGACGTTTTGTAGTGTTTAATAAGGTTAAAAACAGTAAAAAAAACTTTTTTTATTTTGTTTGGAAACAAACACGATGATTTAAAAAATACAGGACATTTAGCGGCCACTTTGAAAAAAAAAGCTGGACATAGCGATCGTATTTTAAAAAATACACGGGACTGTTAAAGACCTCTTTGACATATAACTGTTTTTAAACCAGGATCATCTGCCACATTTTTTTCATCATAATTGTATATACGACTAACAGGCACATCTTTAACTACATGTTGCGAATCATTGAAGTAAAGGTTGACATTCAATGTGTCGATCTTGGAACATGCTGGTTTCACATTGTCTGCCAACCTCTGGGTCAAATTGTTTCCTTTTATAAAAGATTTGAACCAATCGTCACCAGTAACATTGTTTTTGAACCATGAATCTTGGACACTGGATCAATCCAAGTAATCTTTCACTAGAAGTTTGATATCTGTTGCAGTCAATGGAATTTTCCAATTGGAGAGGGTGTTGTTCGAAGTTACAAGATGTGTTTCAGTCTCATTACTCAGATGCAACAGTGTCCCTACCTTCTTTGAATGTCGATTTTTACACTTGTTCTGTTGTGTACGCAATGGAATTCCAACGCAATGGAATTCCAACTGTCGACTAGCCTTTCGCGTGCTCATTTTTCCAGTTAAACATGCTTTCATAGCATTGGACAATGTTTCTTGACTGTATGTAGTTGCATATGCTCTTGAACCAGGCTTTTGCTTATATTTCCTTGGCATTTTCACCGGCTAAGAATTCAAATGGTTTAATAAATGTATCAGAAATGTCAAAAATATCAATGTAGTCTACAAAGTAACTGCTATATTCACAAAAATTGTTGATATACCAAAATCGTTGATATAAATTGTTGATATAATTGTTGATATATATTTTTGGTATCTGTAAAAAAATTAAAACATGTTATCTTTGTTAAATTTTAGGAATTTAAAAAAAAATATACAGTTGACCAAAGTTACCCCGGCGACCAAAGTTACCCCTGTTGACGGTATATGTCTTCTCTGTTTAAAATTTAAACAGAAAAGAATGCTTTGAATAAATAAATAATTAATTTAAAAAAGAAACTGGTAAAAAAAAAGCCAACTTTTATATATAATTTTTATCATAAAAGTTGAACAAAAGAACAAAAAAGTTTTGTTGCAATTTAAAACAAAATGTTTTCATTTATTTGGCAAGCGCTTTTTTTTGCGCTTGCTAAAGTTTTTACAGGACTGATTTTTAATGGACAAGACTGATATATATATATATATATATATATATATATATATATATATATATATATATATATATATATATATATATATATATATATATATATATATATATATATATATATATATATATATATATATATATATATATATATATATATATATATATACACATATGATTACATACACTTTGTAGATGGTTAAAATTAAGAAGGCAAAATTGTTTTCTAAAAATGAGAAGTTAAAGAAATCAGTGAAGGTAATTATCAACTGAGTTTTTATATAATATTTTAGTGTATCTTGTTTGTTTTTTTTTAATTGTTTTCCTCAAATTAAAACTAAATTGCTTCAACTGAAAAACTTACATTCATAATTTTTGTATATATATATTTTTATTATATTTTGGTTCTTTTTATATAAATGTCACCTATAATTGTTCATTGTGACACAATTAAAATAATTACAACCACACATTGAATAATTGGTTCAACATGTGTTAGATTATAATGTTTATTACTTGGGAGACCCTATAAATGTACTTATTGTTAACATCAAAATAGGCTAACAAAAATAACTAATTTACTAGATACCTACACAAGAAAAAAATCATGTTGGAGCATTATCAAAAAAGAAGAAAAGAGAAATTAAAAAAAAAGATTTTTTATCAAGTAATTTATCTTTTATGCTTGAACAATAGGGAATTATATTACCATTATATTGTTTTCTCTTTATGTAGACCAGAGTTATATTTATGACCCCCTTTTTGTTTATATTTAGTGCATTTTAATTATTTTATCCTCTTTATTTTACCAAATGTATCTTTATTATTTTGTTCCTTGAACTTGTCAATAAGTTTGATTTGATTTGATTTTAATAAACAAATATATGAGTCAAAAGAAATTTGGAGAAAATTTTATAGGAAAATTTAGTTTACTGCTAATTACCATTCACTTTCCACATTTTGTTTTCATGTGGATTAAAAAGAATTTGAATAGTCACTTGAATACTACACAAAGATTTGAAAATTTCTTAAAAACAAATGTTATAAGTGTATGTAATATTCTCAATTTTCAAAACTTGTTTGTGTAGGCATGAAATAATATTGTTTAATAGGTAATATAAATTGAATTTAAATTTTATTTTAAAATTATTATAAATTGAATTATAAATAAAACAAAAAAGATTGTAGAAAAACTTTTGGTTAGAACTTGTATAAAATATATTTAGATTTTTGGAAATCTCTATTTTTAAACTGTATTTGGTTCAGCATATAAACAGAAACAAAAAAAATTAAACAAAGCAACAACAGCAAAAAAAGTTTATTTTAAAATTGTCTAAATCACTATTATAAAAAAGTTCACTTGGTGGTATATTTTAATATATAATACATCTATTGTAATAATAAATACTGCTACAATAGATATAATGTTTAAGATAAAATATTGGTAATACCAATAATAATAAGCCTAAATATAATTTTTAATAAATTAATAAATAAAATTGGCGGTAAAGAATTTTATTTTAATCTGACTTATATATGTAAGAAGGAGATTTCTATAATGTTCAAACTAGTTTCCATGCGAGTGCTTAAAAAATATGTAATAAGAATTGTCTCAAAATTCATGTTAAAAAAATTTATACTAAGCAATTTTTTTAAAAACTTGTTTTTAAAGCAGTGACTATTTTAGTTTGTTAATTGTGTTTTAGTTCAAAGCTTTTAAGTGTTGCTAATTAAGTTATAATAGGACTGTTTGTTTACTTTGTACTTTTAGAACACATGGCAAGACTGTTTGTTTACTCAAAGTATTCTTGGCATGTGTTCTAAAAATCTGTTAGAAAAATCTGTTAAAAGCTGTAAAAACTCGCTTGAATAAAATATAGCTTAAATTGAACAGTTGTTACATGGTTGATGTAATAATTTAAATCAACCATATATATATTTTAAACTTTACATAGCCATATGTGTTAAAAGTAAAGGTCCAATTAAACAATCCTGTTTGCTTCAGCCTCATTGGGAAACCTTTAATGTAATATAATAAGTAAAAGAAATAATAGGTATTTTGCCGATGCAAATCAATGGCTATGAGCAACCCTCCTCTTTTTTAAAGTTACTGCCTTGGGCCCGCAAGCACCTAGAAGCCTCTGGGCCCCATAAATTATGTTTTTTTTTTATTAAACTTTTTAAAATTTTATTTTTATGTATTAAAAAAAAATATTGGAATCATAAATTGATTTAAATCATAAATTTCTATTAAAAAAAAAAATTTAAATCACAATGAAGAAACAATAGATTAGTGGGGCACAAAAAAGAAATGGAAATGAGGAAATTAAAGCAAGAATATGAGAACTTCCAAAAATGCTTTTTTACTAAAACATTGGAAAATATTACTGAAAAAAAATATTAAAAGAAAGTGCAGTGAAAGACTTAATAAAGATTTAAAATCAAAATGATTTAGATACTGTGCATATTTCTTTCCATACTAATAATAATGTTTCTGCCACTTCAGGTGAGGTTGAAAAAATTGTCACGCCAATTCGATCAGAGGAGCTATTGAGAGATCTGAATTCTTATCAAATTTACTTGCCGGAAACTGAAATGCTTTCTTTATTCATTGTCTGTTGGAGTCAGTGGCGGATCCAGGTCATTGTCCTAGGAGGGGTAATTTAGCCAACAAAAAAATTCCGTTTTTTTTTTTCTTCAGATAAACCACTTTTTTATTTGATTATTTAGAATATTTTTGGAAAAGTTTGTTACTAAATATATTGAAGTCAAGTTTCTGGAGAAAAAGGATTGAGTTTCTTTGTAATTTGATTATTTTCAGCCCCGCCAATAAATGCACAATTTAATCATTCGGAAGATGACCCAGAGGATAGATGCAAAACGATAGGACCAGCATGGCCCTGCATTGGTAGAATTTTACTTCTTTTGACAAAATAGTCATCTAAAGAGCTTGTCTTCTTTACCCTGTTGGTCATTGTAGCTAATAAAAGTAATTTCATTATAAATAGTAAAATTCATTTGTTATTTATTTATTTAAAATAGTAATTAACACACTTTTGTTTTCTAAATAAGAAACTAATTCATAAGAAATTCATTCAGTTACTATTTAAAATAAAAAATTCTTCGTATCTTATTTAAATACAACTTAAAGTGTATAAAAGCGAAATATAAATTGAAGTGTTACAATATCAATTGTTGAAAAATAAATACTTTTTTATTGAAATTTTAACTACCAAAAACGGCATCGCGTATATAAATTATACTACATATTAAAGTTAAATTAATAATAAAAAAAACTTACCATTTAAACCAAATCTATATATATATATATATATATATTTTTGTAAGTTTTTAAAAACAGTTTAAAAAATTTTAAAAATAGAACGATAGTAATTTTACTGTTTTTTATTGTTAGCTACTTATATAATAGAATGAATGAATGATGATAACATTCAAATGTTTCGAAACTTTCTTCGTTTTTTCTTCGATATCGTTAAAATGTGACAATAGATTTTTTTTGTAACGCTATGAAATAAATTTAGTTTTGCTTTAGTTTTAGTTTTTGTTTTAGTTTTAAAAAAAGTAAATTGTTAGCTGCTGAACAATTTTTTGTATTTTGTTATTTCTCTTACAAATTTTCAATAATATTTTGAAGTTTGGCATCTTTAGGGGGGGGGGGTAGTTACCCTCTTACCCCCCCCCCTCCCTTTGTATCCGCCACTGGTTGGAGTTAATTATTATTTTATGAATCCAGTTGTAGCTGATAATGTATTTTATTACATTATTTGCAAGAATGATTATTTAATTGAAATTTAAAATCAAAATGAGATTCAAAGACTGGCAAAATGTAACTGATGCACTGAAAAGTCATAAAAACTCTGCAGAACATAGAAGAAGTTGCCTGACATGTCACTTGGTGTACAAAAGACTTCTTCCAAACCGACTACTAAATCAAATTGTAAATGAGAAACTGTAAAAAATGTAATAAAAACTGTAAATGTAAAAAATGAGAAATTGTAAATGAGGTGTAAAGCCTTGAAAAGAGTTTTTGCAGTGATTTAGACAATCGTTGAAAGAACTTTGACCTTCAGAGTTCAAATTAAAATTTTGGTTCCCTCAATAGTAGCACACTATTGTCTTATCTTCTCAAGAAAAATTCAAGACAAATGTTGCGAGGATCATATTGAAAATTAAGAGTGAAAATGAGAGTGTAAATTTGCAAAAAAGATCTGAAGTCTAAACAGAGCTGGCACAGAAGTCACACAGAGCTAGTTGATCTTTTTAATTTTTTTTTTTCGTTTTTGGAAATTAAATAAAAAAAATTTTTAATAAAAAGGTGAATTGATTCACCAAACTAGTTTTTATTTTATAATTGATTTTATTTATGATGTTATATGAAAGCAACTAAAAGCTACAATGCAGATGAATTTACTCACGTAACTTTTCTATGTACAATAATGTATAAAATTATTATAGATGACCATGTGATTACTATTATTCCAAACACTGAAACAGTTTTGCCACTTTTCTTATGCTTTATGGTAACTAATTATATTTGCAAATGAAAAAGCAAGAAAAATAATGTTTTGAATAAATTTTTAATGTAGTTTGCGATATCTTGATTTAAAATTGTTAAATTTCTCAAATAAAATATATTTCATTAAATAAAAGGCCCTAACTTTTGTTTGCCTAGAGTCCCATAAAGTGTAAATCCAACACTAAAAGCAAAATTTAATTTGTACATTTATAAAAATTAAAAGCTTTAAAATATAATTTGTTGATTTTTTTGCTCTTGGTGTGAGACTTATTTTTATAAAAAATCTCAATAAACTTTTGGATCAGTCTAAAGATGTTTTCAAACTTTGTTTGCAGTTGAAGTTAAAATCAAGAAAAAGAGTTCTTTTATCTATTATATTTGTTTGCACATTACCAATGTTCCCGAAGAAACCTTAATTTTTGATATTCTTTCATCAAAGGGGCTTTATCTCTTTTTTAAATTTATCAATCATCTGTTGCATTTTTTTAGGTCAAACATGACTTGTTTTATGCAATGAAACAGTATTCAGTTTATGGAGAATTACTTTCTGGGATCAAGCTTCAAAAATATTTGTAGTTTTTTACAGTTTATTTAGTGCCACTCTTCAAGTTTATTTTAGGGCAAAAAACCAAAGTTTTAAAAGATCTATTTAGTATGTATTAGCAAACAATCAAAGGATGATTTAAATGATAATTTAAAAGATGGTGTATGTTTGTAAAAGTGTTTGTTTTTTTTAATTAAATTAAAACCATTATTTGATCAACAACAAAAAAAACAACGTTATAAAGAATTTATTGATTGCTTAAATTGTTTAAATTTATATGGACTACGGGAAATAGTAATTAATTTTCTAAGTTTGCCATTAAAAATTTAAATGGAAGATTTTAAATCAGTTTATAAACTTTACAACATGCTTGTTTATTTTTTATAAAAGACAATTAATCAGCCTCTTGACTTTATTTTAATTTCATTTTTCTTTAAAAGAAGAAAACTTAAAAAAATGTTATGTTTGGAAAAATCTGTCAAATTACAAAACCAGTATACAAAATTTGTCAAAAAAAAAAATTCCATTTTTTTTTTTTTTGACAGATTTTGTATACTGGTTTTGTAATTTTTTTTTTTTTTAATCTAAAAGTTTTAAAGTTAATTTTTTTAAGAATTAATTAAGAAAATCTGGACTAACATAGGATTTCAAATTCCTGATTTAAATAATTCTTAATCTGTTAGTGTAGTTTACTTAACCATGTAAATATAAAACAAATGTTTTTTATACTCTTTAACACAATTAATGATTGTAATGTTATGCAATATACATTATGTATACATGTAGTTTTGCTACACATGTATATATGTTATGTATCAAAATATACATATGTATACATGTTATGTATACTATGTATATTTATACATATATACATATGTATACATGTTATGTATACATGTGTATAAATTTACAATAAATTTATTTTTTAGAATTAGTTGCATCTCATGAAACAAAATGTAAAACTAAAAGAGCTCAGATTCGTGCGCAAACTGTCATAGTTGGTGATTTGGATCCACTCCTAGATGCTCTGTCTGATATAAAGCCAACTGAAAAAAAAGCAGAAATAAAAATGTATACTAGTTATTATTTTTTTATTATTTTTAATTTTTTTTTTGTTGATTTTCTTTGAACAAGACTTCAAACAACTACTATTAAGTTGGAAGTTGCTAGAAAAAAAAAGAATAGAATTATAGAGCAAGAAAACAGTTGACAGAAGACTTAAAAAGTTATCAGGAAAACATATGATAGGAAAACATATGATAGAAACATATGATAGAAAAGATAGGAGAGAGTTCCAAAGGGTTGAAGTGGGGGAAAAAAAAAAGAATAATAAAAGTTTTTTTAGAGCATGCAGTGACAGATACAATAAACAAATGAAAATTTGCTAAATAGTGAGTCAAGTGAGAATGAGTTTTAGTTGATGGGACTAGAGATGACAGCTCCTTTGAGCAGCAACCATTATAGTGTTTGTAGAAAAGAGAAAGAGATGCAACTTTATGGCAATGGCCCATCATCATAAAGTTGCATTTCTTTCTCTTTTCTACATTGTAAACGTAGTTGGACTTTATCTGCCCAGCTTGAGCCTCTTTCCCATTGGAAAAGAGGCTCAAGCTTGGCAGATAAAGCTGACAGCAGTATTCCAACAGTATAGCAGTATTCCAACAGTATTCCATACAAATAAGAGATTTATAGAGGCAGTTAATGGAATCAGAAGTGAGAAAATGGCAAGCATGGTGAAGGGAAACAACCTCAGCAGATGCTAACTTATTAATTGATTTTATGTATGATTTCTATGAGAGGTCAGTAGTGAATGATAATCCAAGATAGCGTAAAGAAGCCGACTTAGTGATGAAGTTACCATTCATTAATATAGGAATGTTGACAGTAATATGAGTTTTTGTCAGGAAAATCATTAATGTAGAAGAGAAACAAAACAGGACCAATGATAGAACCTACCCCAGCTACCCCAGAAGTTACAGGAAATAAAGAAAAATATTGACTTTCAAGGATTACTATAAAAAATTGGTTAAAAAGAAATAATTTGATAAACTCAAAAATATTCCCAGATACACCATATGAAATGAGCTTATGGAGAAGACCAGCATGCCAAACTTTATTGAAAACTTTAGATATGCAAAGAGCAATACCCCTAACCTTGTGGTCTCCATCTAATACATGATAAAATCTATCAGTCACAGCAATTTGTAAGTCATCCATAGAGTGGTGAGATAACCATATTGATTGTCTGACAGTAAGTTATTTGACTCAAGTAATAACAGATATAAGCTAAAATTAAAAGCTAACAACAGATAGAAGACTGCGCGAATAATAGTTTAAGGTGTCAGAATGTTCTAAAATTTTTTTTTGGTGTCAGAGTTTTTCTAAAATTGGAACCACAGATGCCATCTTTTATAAGACAGGAAAACAAGATTCAGCCACTTTTTAAATAGTATAGAGCTAATAATCCATATATATATATATATATATATATATATATATATATATATATATATATATATATATATATATATATATATATATATATATATATATATATATATATATATATATAATATATACATATGGATATACATATATATGGCTGATGATTGCTGTATAAGCATGAAATTTATAGTTCCATGAAAAGTTGTTTTTTCTCTATGTAAATGAAAATATATATATTTGTGCGTATATATATATATATATATATATATATATATATATATATATATATATATATATATATATATATGTGTGTGTGTGTATATATGTATATATGTGTATATACATATATATTCATATATGTATATATATATATATATATATATATATATATATATATATATATATATATATATTATTTTATAAAAAATTTTATTAAATAGATATTTAATTTTCATCGAAAAGAGTGGTTTTAAGCCAAAAAAAGTTGACAGAATATCAAATCAAAGAAAGGTTGACATGTTAGGAACATCAACAAACATATCACAAATGGTTGCCAGATCAGATCAGTCTGGTTAAATGAGACAAGTTTTAACCTTTTTTGTAGAAAAACGTAAAGGCAAAGAAGAAGTACAATAATGAGCATACATGCTTCAAATGGTTGAAATATATATTGGATTGCAGCTATATTAAAACAAATTGTCCTCATTATAGAAACTCATAAATGATCATTTAATGCAGATTCTTATAACAAGTGGATGTTGGCTATATTTCACCAGTGGGTTACATTAGGAAATATTTAGAGAATTTTTGTCATTGTAGCAGATGATGCTCTTTGACACACTTTTTTGGAAAGAGTGTTTAAAAATTCACAAGCTCAGTTATGCTAGGTCCAATATTAAACAATCTAGTTCTAAATTAAAAGTAACGTTAAAATTGCGAATCTAATCTTAATTACACCATATTGTCAATTACATCTTATGTTTCTTAATTACAACTTTTATTTTCTTAAATTCATATCTTAAATTATATCATTAAAAAGGAGTAGTTAATGGTATAAGTTTGTTAAAAAGTTAAGAAAAAATTAAAATACTTGCAATGAGCTTTTTTTAATTTAAACTTTTAAATTTAATTGCATGTAAATATGTTTACCTGCAATTCAATGAGTGAGCAATTGAAGTTTTGAACAAAATAAAAAAAAAAGAATTTTTTTTTTCATTTTGTAACAAAATTTTGATTATAAAACATGAAGATATTTATCGCAATAAGGTAAAATATGTAAAGGTATAATAGAATTTATAAAAATGAATAAATAGATTTAGGATAATGTATAAGATATATTTCATGTGCATTTAAGTATGACATTTTTAAAATTTAGAAAACCTTTAACTGAGCGTAAGAAAAAGATATCTTCTGAAAAAAAGAGGATGCAGTCAGAGTAATTTTTTATTTATTATTAATTATTTTTATCATTTTCTTAGTTTTACTGGTTTTTCTTATACTTGCACAATAAATAATTGGGAAGAAAGCATTTATATTATATCTAGATTTATATTATATCTAGATTTTTTAAGTTTTTTTTTTAATGGATATATATTAAAAAGATTTTTGTAATACATTTACATGTAATAAATAGATATAGAGGTAAGAGAAATTTTTATTTTAATAACTCTTTTATTATTATTATTAATAGCAGTAGTAGTAGTAGTAGTAGTAGTAGTAGTAGTAGTAGTAGTAGTAGTAGTAGTAGTAGTAGTTTTTCTTTTAAAAACTTATGAGTTTCATCGTCTGAATTAAATTCAGGACCGTCCCGACGTGGGGGGGGTGTACCGTCTTTCCCCAAAGCTGTCATATAAGCATTTGAGTTGGCACATTGAGCAAGTTTTGAACTGTAGTTAGCAAATTGCAAATATTAAGGACCTTTTTTTGTTTTTTCAGGGTGTTTCTATTTGGCAAAAAAATACATACACCTCTGCCTATAGAAGATCTCTTTGGGACGGCCCTGATTAAATTAGATGTTTGATATATTAAAAAAATCAAAAAATTTGTCCAAAAGAATATGAAGTTTCATATATAGAAAACCTGCAAAAATACAGCAAAAAAAAGTTTTTTTTTTGTAATTTTTAATTTCATTTGCATTGTGCTATTAATTTGATTTGCATTGTGCTAAATCTTAAATTGAGATTTTAATTGTTAATGTATCCCCCTCCCCTACAGCATCAAAATATTGATCTAAAAGGCATATTTTGAAACCCTTTACAGACTAACCACATATATGTGCAATCTGATTGGTTGATTTTGAAAGTGAGGCATGTGCGCAATTGTTGAAAAA